AAATTACTAGAAAATTGGAAAGGAGCGAATATTGCTTTAATTCATAAAGAAACACAGGATCCTATTTTCCCAAATAAATGATCAGCCAATTTGAACCATGACTACAAAATATTTACTGTGGTTTTAGCTGAAAGAATGAAAGGTGTTTCAGGACTTTATACCTGAAAATCAGTGTAGATTTCTACCTAAAAGAGTTGAGGGACAATATAAGAAATATTCTTAATATACTAGACTATTTGGAAGAAGATAATGGAAAACTACCATGTTGATATTTCTTGATGTGGAGAAAACTTTTGATAATTTGAACTGGTTTTTTTTGTTTAAAATTTTGGAAGAACTAAATTTTGTAGGTAAATTTATTAAATGGGTAAAAGTGATACATATGTCACAAACAGCACAAGTTCTAGTCAACCAAGCTCTGAGGACACCCAGCAGAAATAACTTCTCTACGAATCTCTCCATCTAATGGCCATGCTTATTATGCTAAACTACTTATCAAAAAGAAAATATAAATGCATATAGTATTAATAAATGTTAAGAGTAGTGATCCAAATTAGTAATCAGAACCATGCATGGAATGGAGCAAGTGGACAAGGAGAATTTTTTCTCTTTCTCTTGAAACACCAAGAACAGAATCATTCAGTCAAGCTGAATTTGCTACTTCGAACTAATACCTTGAGCCAAACGAGACAAGCCACCTTGGTGGTGCTATAGGTTGATATTGCTATAGGTTGGATTTGGTATTGTTGCTCTGTGATAGAAGTGTTTAAATCACTGAAGATTCCACATGATTTTTAGAGATATACCGTGCCCACCCACACTCTGTAGCACCTGGCCACGGCACCCGCCCATAGGCCTCACCTCCTGGCCTGCTTGCCTTGGACTCCCACCTGTTCCCACATTGCGCTCACGTGAGGTCCTCACTTAATGACCCGCATGGTCCTGGGGTTACGATGGCAACCAGGACTGCTGGGATTGCTGTTGCTAAGCAATGGTGTCAGGTGACATCGCGCTTTACAACCACATTGTTTAGCAACGGAAATTCCAGTCCCAATTGCCATCATAACTCGAGGGCTACCTGTAAAAGTAATAAATAAAACACATGCACTTATGTTGAGAAGTGTCCTAGCATTGAAAATTTCTTTTCCTCAAAAGTATCAGTTCACAGACTTTTACCCAGCGTGTGGATGGCCGGTTGATCTGTACAAACCAACCATTCTAACCCTAACCCTTTGTAAAGCCAGCAAAACCCTGACTGGATTTGTTTATCCCTGATTTGTTGAAGAAATCATAACTGGTTAGGTTCATGCATCATACTAAGTGATGAACCGTGGTTTTACAGACACCACTCAGACAATGTACCCAGCCATCACCAACCAAGTCAGATGACAGCTTCGCCCAAGGTGTAATCCCACCCACAGACATTTCAGTCAATCTGTTCTTTGGCCTTTTTGTATTTTAATTGGCCTTTTTGTAATTTAATGGTAAAGCAAAATTAGTCAAATTTGTCCTACCTTTTTTCTTTAATGCTCTTGCGTGAGACGCGATAGAGCTCACCAGTTTACTGCATAATTGGCTACTGTTGAAGGAGAAGAAGAATCCTGGTTTGGCTCTGCCTTTAGCAACATGAAAAACTCGCAACTTTTGGGGAGAGCTGCAGCTTCTCCCTTCCAGCTAGCATGGAAATGTTGGGAAAATCTGTGATTGACAGCCTCCCCCCCCCCAAACACACACAGGGCAGGAGCATGGCTGGAAAGATAATGTTGATAAAATCAGGAATAGGCAAAGTGATGCCCTCCAGCTGTCTTGCAATACAGCTCCCATAATCCCTGCCCATTGATCGTTATACCTTAGACCAGTGTTTCTCAATCTCAGCAACTTGAAGATGTGTGGGCTTCAACCCCCAAAATTCCCTTAGGGACTGCCTTAGGCTGATGGGAAGTCAAACTGAAAACATCTGGGGAACACCAGGTTGTCTCCTCTGGTCTAAATCTTAGGTCTCTCACTGAAGCTTGATTTACATGTTGTAATAACTATAGTTTAGCCATGATTTTCCAAATGAATCAGAAAAAGCTGGCTTCACACGCTATACTAAGCCACAAAGCACACGCTGATTGAAACAGCTCTTCTGACTAGGAACCCAAAGCAACCTTCACACTCAAGTCAAGATGCCCCAACCCTGTTCTCATTCTCCAAAGTAGTTTGACACAAATTCACCATCATGTTATCCCTGCTAAGAAAGGGAGCTGAACAAGTACCAAGGTCGCTTTTGCTTCATACATATAAACCCTTTTG